CCACACCAGGATTCTTTGTGATTCATAGCAACCATATGTAGAGTTTCAGAGACTGCAAATTTTTATGGAAGCAGATAGCTTTATCTTTCTCCTGAGGAGCAGCTAGTGGGTTTGAATTGGCTAGCTGTGGTTAGCAGCCCAACACCTAGGAGTTGTCATCTACTTCCAAAGACAGTCTACCTGAGGGCAAATCCTTTTACATTCTCAATTAATGGTCAGAAAGAACTCAAATGAAAGCTGAATTTATGTGAAGATTGAAAATGGAGTTAAGGCACTCACAGTAAGCTGCAGCTTTCAGCAAACCAAGTGCTTAGAATATAAGCTCTAACACACATAAAAGAAACCGATTCAATGGCACTTACCAACAACAATAGGTAAATATTGCCATGATTCACCCAAAAATTTCCAAAGGAGCTTGGCTGCAGGCAAGCTCAACCCATCTTCAGTTCCTCTTTTCAGTGCTACCTCTAGAATGTGTTTAAAACTTCCTTTCTTTATTGCTGTGGAATTTTTTTCAAAATTTGCTTGATCTTCTGGATCACCTAAGTACTTGGTTAAAAATGCCCATTCTCAGCTGTCTTTCCAAGAAATTCTGATTCAAAAAGTTTGGTAAGAGAATCTGAGAAACAGTTTTTAACAAGCCTCCCCCCACCCCCATGTGACTCTTAAAATCAGGCAACACTGCTGTAGAGCAGTGCTATCAACTTTAAATACGTTATCAGTTGCCTAGTAATTCCAACTCATAGCAACTACATGGGTGTCAAAAGAGAACTGTGGAAGACCAAAGAACTGATGCCTTTGAAATATAGCCAAGAATATTAAAGGTACTATGGACTGCCAAACAAAGAACAAATCTGTCTTAGACATATTGCCAGAATGTTCCTTAGAGTGAGGATGACAAGATTTTGTCTCATGTATTTTGGACATGTTATCGTGAGAACCACCAGTCTCTGAAGAACATCACACTTGGTAAAGTAGACGGTCCATGAAAAACAGGAAGGCTCTCAACAAGACACATTGACACAGTGGCTTCAATAGGCTCAAACACAGACACCATTGTAAGGATGGCACAAAACTAGGCAGTGTTTTTGTTCTATTGTACATAGAATCATTATGATTCAGAACCGACTTGACAGCACCTAACAACAACATCACTTGTTTCAAAATTTCACTACAATAAATAACACTGCACTGGATATATTTGACAATAAAGCTTTTTCTATATCAGAAAAAGAAAATAGAGAGAGAGAGAACTGTGATCTAAAGGTTTTTCAGTTGTTGGTCTTTCAGAAGTAGATGGCCACGCCTGTCTTTGGAGGTGCCTCTGGGTGGTCTAAACCTCCAATCTTTAAGTTAGTAGTTAAGCTTTCCTACCTAGCGACTCCAATCACTATCTTTTGATTAGCAGCTGAGTGTTTAGTCATTTGCGCCATCAAGAGTCACTTCCAATTATTGAGACAACTTTAAAAAAATTCCTACTGCTGGGCCCCATCTCTAACCACCAGAGCCTCTAGTAGTGGGGTCCAGCCATCAGTATTCTTTGAGTTCTTGGGTAGCTGTCATGTTCATCTAGCATTAAAAATCACTTCTCTACAACAATGCTCAGGTGAGTATTGAAATAGCTTGAGGAAAATACCGTCGAACGGTAAATTTTTACCTCTAATGTTTTCTTAAGATAAAAAAAAAAAACTATTAAATTTCAGTATTAGACTCAGAAACATTTCATTATAGGACAGATGCCATGCAGAATCAATTTGAGTACCAGATATTAAAATTTTCTGGAATGGAAAAATCAATTTCTAGACTTTTTTCAAGATCTTTTCTGATAGTCTATTTGGGTCTTTGACCTGTATAATCCTCTTAGGTAACCGATTAGCAGCAGACTATGATCTACAGATGAAATGCAAATGATCAGAGTTGTAGAGCAACATGAAAGCAAGATTTGAACTTAGTTTTGGTAGAATTTAAAATTATGATCAAGAACAGACTTAATTATGTACCCTACTTTTGCTTTCAGGAAAGAATTTGCACAGGTGTGTTTACCTAGACTATCTCCAGTGTGGCAACTCTTAATTGTCCACCTCAGATCTTAGAAAATGCTGAAAGAATGAGGTTCCAATCTGGATAATAGCACAAGGATGTTGGCAGAATATGCTGCCTCTTGATTTCAGGGGGTTTAGCTTTATTCTTTCAATGAAGTGTGTAGTTGAGGAAGATCCAGTACCAGATGGTAATGTTGGCTGGAGTGGTTTTCTCACCTACTTTTGGCAGCTCTTCTCGGAAGCAGAGCTTTCAGTGCCTAAGACTTCCAGTCTATACTATTTAACATGATCATTGGGAAGCTTTAGGTGGTATAGGTGTAACAACACATCTCATTACATGTCTGGTAACTATGATCATCTGACATCTGTGCCGCAAACAGGGCTGCGTACAGCCTTTGAGTGGTTATAGATTCAAGTGGTGTGTTACTTTTTTTAAAGGTACTTCTGAAATCTATTATACTAACCAGGCTTGTAATTTCTGGCATAATTGACATAGAGAAATAGAATATGAGTTGCTGGGTTGTTCATCTTAAAGATGGCCTTCCTTTAAATGGGTTCTCTTTTACTACCATTTAAGTAATGGTTTATTCATCGTATTATAATAGTAGTAGTAATAATAATAGCTATCATGATTTGAATACCTATTATGTGCTAGGTTGCTTTATATAGAAACTATACAAGAGTCCTCCAAGATATTCTCATTTTGTGGGTGGGGGAACAGCAGGGCCTCGGTCCATCTTGTCACCAACTCCTGCAGTGTACAGGAATAGCATCAACATTCAATCTTATAAACTCAATAGAGGGTTGCTCATAAAATTGTAAAAAAAAAAGCAAATCCAATCAAATTCAGCTTTCCAGGATTTTACCATCCAAATATTCTTTATTACATTAAAAATAAGATTAATTCTTAATATACATACCTAGGTGCTTTATCTTTTAAAAAACTTTGCCAGAGCTTTTTAATTTTTTTCCCAGAGACTTTAGTGAAATTTGTTCGTGTTGTTAAGTGCTGTTGAATTGGTTCTGATTCATAGCAATCCTGTATAGGGTTTAAAAGGAGCAGCTGGTGAGTTTGAACCATTGACCTTGAGAGTCAAACTGACCTTGTGGTCCAGAACTTTATCCCACAGTGCCACACAAGGACTCCTTGGTGAAATTAGAAAATAATAAAAACCTGCAAATCAAAATATACTCGTCTGAAATTTGACTTGGCTCCTCATAGATGCAGAAATTCATTTTCACTTATTTCTCATCCTCCTTCCCAAAGTCCTAAAGCACGGATCCATGGGGAGTTCCCTCCATTTCCCAGAGGAAATATTTCATTCATATAATGTCTCCTTTGTAATCAACACTGAGAAATGTCACTTTGATTAAACACAACTCTGAATGACTAAGACCACAGTACAATAAATTCTCCAGAGCTATCTTTCAGAACAACTGATTGCTCTCCAGTCTTAATCCTCCAGAGTCTTATTTAATCAAAATGATGTTGCTAATTAAGGATTAAAACCTCCGAATAGAATAAAAAAGAAGGATTTTTCTTTCTCCTTTGGGCAGGTCAAGGAGGCAGAATTTGCTATAGGAACTAAATAGTCCCTTACACCTTTGGTAAAACTGCATTATTCTCTGACATTTGGATTTAATCCAAAACAGGCCTGAGTGCTTGGTAATATTAATATAATTGAAAAAAGGGGCGGGGGGAGAACAAGAGAGAAAGAAAGAAAGAAAGAAAGAGGGAGAGAGGATGGAAAGAGAAAAGGAAAGGAGGGAGAGAGTGAGGAAGAAAGAAAGGAATACAGGCAGGAAGGGAGGAAAGAAGGAATGAAGGGATGAGAGGAAGAAGAAACTGCCTTAGATAATGACATAAATCCCAGAAAGTATTTATTTTATTTTTTTCTTTAGTACTTTCATATGAATTTTCCTTAAATATTGGTATTAAATAATGCTGTCTGTGCATTGTTTTGACATATTGTTAACATAGATGAAAAGACAGAATAATGTGGGGAAAAAAACTTGACAACTTCTTTCCCAGAAAAGAAGGAACAAAAGACTTAATGTATTTCAGATATATTTAACGTCCACTGTTGAGTAACTACAACGAAGAAATTCTGTACTAAATGCTGAACTACTTTCCCCTTAACCTAAATTTTAATTTTTTTTTTGAATTTATATTTGGTAATAGAAGTTGGTTTCTTCAAAAACATACAAACTGTATAAGAACTAGTGAAGAACAAAGATTTACAGAAAGCCATTTGGTTTTCATAGAATATAAACCCTTATGTGTTGGGGCAAAGTAGGCACTGACTGATACTTTAACAAATTGTAAAATGCTTTTTATCTTCTCTATGAATTACCATGTCAATTTTTCATCTCTCTCAAATTATATGATTACAGTGTAGACATAAGTAATAGTAGTTGGTGTGGCACTAGAGGATAAGCACTGGACTGCAAGTTCGGTTTGAACCACAAGGTCTGTGGTTCAAACTCACTAGGCACTCCTTATACAGGGTTGCTATGAGTCAGAAGTGACTCAATGGCACTTAACAACAACTTAACAGCCATCTATTGATTAGCATCTATTGATTATATTACTATCTCTAGTAAAACTTATATAGACTTGAGACTTGAGACTTCCATCCAGACTTATTTGGTTTCTAACCCAAATTCATTCTATCCAGTGTGACAAGTCACTTCATACCTCTTTACTTGGAGGATAAAGGTATCAATGCATCTTGGAAAGGTGCTAGCAAGCTGTATAGGTCTGTACCTGACTCATGTGCTTCCACCAGAACTGACTAAATCATTGCCCCAGGCATAGTCACATTGCCACTTACCCAGCCCAAACAATGACAGATGCTGAACTACTATCATCAAAATAGGACTACAAAACAAGCAATGAGAAACCCAAAGAAAAAGAATATCAGAATCATATTTGATCTCCTTAGAGATGTTACCTACCAGTTAAAAAATGACAGTTGTTTTTTTGATCCATACTCCTGGAGGCCATATGCACCCAGTGGACAAATGATGGCTCTTACTCCACCTGTGCCAAGGCAGATGGCCAACAGTGCTATGTAGAACAGGCTCTTCTGCTCCTTCTTTGTTATCATGTTAATCACATAGTAAGAGCCCATATAGAAATCTTCTGAGGGAAAAGCCAGCACAGATAACAAAGCAGTACCTGTAGGTAGAGTAAAAGGGGGAATCAATACAGCATAGACTAGTTGAACTGCCAATCAATTAAAAAAAAGCATCGTTATATTATTCGTATTAAAATATTTACATTAATTGTTGAAATTTTCCGGATAGCCTGTTTTTTCTAGTTGTGACTTCAATAAGTGTTCAATTAATTCTGAATCCTAGCTGTTTTGCCCCTCAAGCTTGAACTATCTTTTTTCTCAGAAAAAAAAAGAAAAAGAAGCAAATCACCTCTAATTTAGCAAAATTAAAACAATTCAGAAATGCATTAAGTAGAAAACTAAGATGTCTATAATCTCACCCCCAGAGAAAACCATTGTTAACAAGGGACATTTGTTCTTAATAAGTACAGTGATAGAAAACTCAATGGCCTCAGACATCTCAGAGGCCTGTTAAATAAAAAGTTTTTAAGAAGAATATTATTCTAGTATTTAGAGGAGAATATAACCTCTCTTTCTTTCTTACTTTCCTGAAGTGCAGTGCATAGTTGCTCTGATACTGCCTTTGTAGCAGTTGTTGTTGATGCTAAGTGCCGTGGAGTTGGTTCCAACTCATAGTGATCCTGTATAGGGTTTCTGAGGAGTGGCTGGTGAATTTGAACCATCGACCTTGTGGTTCAAACCAACCTTGCAATGCAGCGCATTTAATCCACAGTGCCACACTAGGAATTGTAGCAGTATCGAGTCCTTGTGTGGATCCATGGATTAATGCACTGGACTACAAGGTCAGTTTGAACTGCAAGGTTAGAGGTTCAAGCTCACCAGTTGCTCCTTGGAAACCCTATACAGGGTCACTATGGGTCGGAACCAGCTTAACGGCACTTAACAACAACAACAACAAATGACTGGATGTTGTTGTTAAGTGCTGTTAAGTCAATTCTGACTTGTAGCAACCCCATATCAGGTTTCCAAGGAGAGGTTGGTGGGTTTGAACCACTAACTTTGTGTTTAGCATTCCAGTGCTTATCCTACAGTGCCACACCAAGAATCCTGGAGAGGACTATGCAAATGTGAGATGCTTGTGGCCCACTAAGGGGAAGGCATAGCTTGCTAAATTATTAGTAATGTAAGTAAGGTACATGACACCTTTGTGGGGTTATGTGCTGTCTAGTCGGTACCAACTCATAGTGACCCTATGAACAACAGAATGAAACAGTCCTGTGCCACCTCATAATCATTGCTATGCTTGAACCTATTGCTGCTGCCACTGTATCAAGCCAACTCCCTGGAGGCTTTCCTCTTTTTCTCCCATCCTCCACTTCACCAAAGATTTTATGTTCTCTGGGGACTGGTTCCTTCTGATAATGCGTCCAAAGTATAAAAGAGGAAGTCTGGCCGTTCTGGCTTCTAAGAAGCTTTCTGGCTGTATTTCTTCCAACACAGAACCTAACAGAGATGTAGAGAGTTCTGTAGGAGGGATAACTGGTATCAGAATGGTTGAAAAGTAGAGGTATGTCTGACCTCCTCAGCTTTGGGGTAGCGCTAATGGTGATTATTCTCTCACCCCCTCATAAAGTTTGAGGTCAGACACTGCCCACAAACCATTTTTAAACTATCCTTTCTTCACTTCTCCCACAGATGGGTGGAGCCTTCTTGTGGAGAGCAAGGAGTGTAAACTGAGTAATGTGGCTCAGTGGGAAGGAGGGGATGACCAAGGAAAGTTGCACATTCACTTCACAAGGACCACTCATGAAAACTTACGAATATTCAATTCCTTGTTTTGGTTAAGCTCTTTAGGTTTTGCAAAGTACTTTCAGATACTATATTGTTTCATCTTGGAAAAAAATGTCAGAGGATGTATTTTGTTATTTAAAATGTTCAAATAAAGTAAGAGGTTAAATGAAGGTAAGTAACTTGTTTGAAGTCATAGAGCAATCCAGAACAATTGCCCTCTTTTGGGAATCTCTATTGTTTGAGTCCTGGTGTGGTTCTGTAGAATTAGTGCAGAACTGCAAGGTTGCTTTGAATTGCGAGGTCGATGCTTCAAACTCACCAGCGGTTCCTTAGAAACTTTACAGGTATGAATCAGAACAGACTTGATGGCACTTAACAACAACATTGCTAAACTGCTCAAATCATCATTTTCTAAAAAATAGTATTTTGCCATCAGATTTTAAAAGTAATGCATTCTTATTTCAAACGATTTTTTAAATGTTAAAAAATACCCAGAATAGCATAAAATACTCATAATCTGATGACTGAGAGTGCAGTGGCTTTGTAGAATAAGCACTGAACTGTGAACAACAAGGCTGACAGTTCAAGCAAACTAGCCACTCCACAAGAGAAAGATGAGGCTTTCTGCTCTTGCAAAGATTTATAGTCTCACAAACCTGATATAGGGTTGCTATGAGTCGGAACCCTTTTGATGATGCTTAACAATAACAGAAATAATCTCATGACCAAAAGATGTTGTTTTTATTAGGAACTGTCAAGTTGGTTCTGATTCATGGTGACTAACACAATAAAAAATACTGCCTGGTTCTTCACTATCCATAAAATCATTGCTAAGTTTGAGCTCATTGTTACAGTCACTGTGCTAGTTCATCTGGTTGAAGACAATCCTTTTTTGCACTGATCCAGACATATAGACTTTACTATGCATATAGACTTCTCCAAGGGACTGGCCCCTCTTGATAACATGTCTAAAAATCAGAAACCAAATTTCATAATACTTGCTTCTAAGGAATATTCTGGCTGTACTGCTTCCAAGACAGATTTGTCTTTCTGACAGTCCATGATATATTCAATATGCTTTGCCAACACCAAAACTCAAATGCATCAGTGCTTCTCCAGTCTTCCTTTGACATCACCCAGCTTTTGAATGTGTTAGGAAGTGATTGAAAATATCATGGCTTGGGTCAAGCACACCTTATCCTCAAAGTGATATTTTTGCTCTTTAGCATTTTAAATTTGCAGCAAATTTGCCCAGTGCAATATATCATTTGATTTCTTGACTTTGCTTCCATGAACATGGATTGTAGAACCAAGTAAAATGAAATCTTGACGACTTCAATCTTTTCTCTATTTATCATAATGTTGTTTATTGATCTAGTTGTGAGAAATTTTGTTTTCTTTACATTGAGGCATAATCCATATTGAAGGTGTAGCTTTTGATCTTCATCAGTAACTGCTTCAAGTTTTCTGCACTTTCAGCAAGCAAAGTTGTGTCATCTGCAAATTGTTGGTTGCAGTTTGAGAAATGCTGAGTGTGTTCTTCCTTTTTGGTTTTCTGACCACAGGTTTTGCACATTTCTTTACAATCCTTTACTTTCTCTTCTCAAGATGCCCTTTGAAATTTTCTGTTTATGTTTTTTTCATTTTATCATTTATTCCAGTTACTTTAGATTTTCTACATTGAAGAGGAAATTTCAGAGTCTGCATTGATATCCAGCTTGGTTTCTTCTTTCTTTCCTCTTTTTCAGTACCTTTTACTTTCTTCACATATGATACTCTTGATGTCATCTCATAACTCCTCTGGTCTTTGGTCAGCAATGTTCAATGCTTCAAATCTAGTCTTGAGATGGTCTCTAATTTCAGGTGGGATATACTCAATGTCATAATTTTAGCTCTCATGGGCTTGTTTACATTTTCTTCAGCTTCAACCTGAAATTGTATGTGAGCTATTTGATGGTCTCTTCCACAGCCCACTCCTGGCCATATTTTAGCTGATGATATTGAGCTTCTTCATTGTCTCTTTCCACAGATGTAGTCAATTTAGTCCCTGTGTATTCCAGTGTACAGTCATAATTTGTATTGATGAAAAAGTTATTTGTAATGAATAAGTCATTGGTCTTACAAAATTCTATCATTCAATCTTTGACATAATTTCTATCAATTTTCCAACTACCAATCCCTATCCCTTATTTCTAGTGATTATATCCCAATCATTAGTAATTATCAATGTATCATGGTAGCACGTTTGATCAATTTCAGATGGAAGAAGTTGGTGGAATTCTTCAATTTCATCATCTAAGGAGCTCTGGTAGTGTAGTGGTTACGAATTGGGCTGTGAACTGCAAGGTTAGCAGTTCAAAACTACCAGCTGTTCCACAGGAGAAATATGAGGCTTTCTGCTCCCGTAAAGGTTCAGGTGGAGGGTCAGAGAAAAAGAGGAAGATCCCCAACAAGATGGATCAGCCAGGTGGCATCAGTGATGGCATCAAGTGTGGCAGCGGTAGTGAGGTTGGCCCAGGATCGGACATTGTTTCGTTCTGCTGTGCATGGGGTCGCTATGAGTCGGTTCTGACTCAATGGCACCTGACAACAACAACACTGCTTTGAGGAGGCAGCTCTTTCATGGTCAGAGTTTTAGTGCCTTCCAATCTGAGGGTCTCATCTTCCTGCACTATAGTAGACAGTGTTCTGCTGCTATTCATAAAGTTTTTAATGGTTAATTTGTCAGAAATTGTTTGACTGTTCTTTCTTCCTAGTCTTAGTTTGAAAGATTAACTGAAACCTGTGCACTGTGGTGACCCTGCTGGTATTTGAAATATTGGTGGCATAGCATCCAGCATCACAGCAATATAGAAGCCACTGCAGTACTGATAGACGCTGACAGACAGGTGGTGGGCCAAGAGATAGCTTTTGCTATTTATTATAATTTTATGAATATATTTTACACAAATAGCAAAAAGAGATTACAGTGGTGATTTTTAAAACATAACCAAACAATATAAACAATTTTGAATACCCTAATAGGGTCACTATGAATTAGAACTGACTCGATGACAGTTAACAACAACAACAACAACAATACGCTATCTAATACTCTATCTGGTATAGCACTATGGGATAATGCACCAGACTATGAGGTCAATTTGAACTGCAAGGTCAGCAGTTCAAAATCACCAGCTGCTCATCAGAAACCCTATACAGGGTTGCTATTAGTTAGAACTGACTTGAAAGCACTTAATAACAATCTACTTTTTCTTATATAAGACTTTGATTATATTCCATCTGAATTTAAAGATCATCTCAAAAATAG